GAGACTTTCTGATAACGATGGAGGTCGAAGAGGAAAACACTTTCAAATGTCAGTATATGAACATCTGGTGGTACAAAAGTTAAACTGTTATAGCGGTCGTGTTGTTCAGCTTTGGGCATGTGTAGCCGGTCTGCCTTAAACTCTGATCGCTGTTACTTCTCTCTGTGCGAATGACGCGAGCAGTCAGCTCTCACTTTGCCAGCTGGGCGGATTTATTCTCCCAGAACTGTTCAAAATAAAAACAAAACAGCGACTTCACTGGCCTCTGCATGAACACCTCTCCTCAGCGGGCCTCTAGGCGACTGAGGAAAATAGCACACAGGAAGTGACTTCATGGGAAGTCAAAGGTCACACAAACAGAATAAAAGCTAAAAAAATATAAATTCAGAAAATAAACATATATAAATAAACACATATACATAATCGATACTGACAGAGCAAAATAACACTGCAGGATGGATGTTTGGTGGAATATAAACTATCTTTTAATACACCTGTTACACATAGACATGTTTCTTTATTTAATAACCATAAACCAGCTTGTGTGGTGGGTCCCACGGTTTGTCATGTACTGCTGCTTACATAGAGCTAATTTAGATTTTTTAAATGAATCTTTATGGTGACATGTTGTGGGGAACAAAGACCAAACAGTCATTTTATTAAAACGAGGAGAAAACGATCACCTCTTCACTGGGTGCAGAATTGGGCCCTGTGGCGTTGAGGTACAAGAATGAGTCAGTTTACACATCATATTCATGTGAGTGCAGTTTTATTAACCCTCATGCTGCACAGCAGCGCTCCCCAACCTTTTAATGTCAGACAGGGAGCGGCCTTTAAGGTGTCGCAGATAAATACAACAAAATAAACGACCAAGAACAAACTGGTGTTTTGTAAATATAATAACAAACTTGAATTAACTGTGTCATTGTGTAACTTCATTAGCAGCTTCCTCCTGAAAATGCACCAACGACATTGAGAGTAACATCCTCCTCTCCGCCCCTTAATGCGCCCTGGTCGCTATGGTAACGTGTAAATATTTCTTTCAAAATAAGACACAACTACAACAGGGGAAAGACCCAGGGAACGATACAAACCCTGGAAACCATCAATTTCACAGCGGAGCCTCGACTCTCGTGGCCCGGTACCAAACGACTCACTGCTGTGCAGAACCTGTGATGTCCACACACAAGGCTGAGGAGAGGAGAGCAGGCAGAGGATGGACTGTTTCACTTCTAGAAAGATTCGTTCCCAAATGAGTTATGTGCTGAGACATTTATTTATCTGAATATATTTGTTACATTGTTATATGTGTTGCATTAGTTTAAAGGTTTTATGTTATTAATAAATTGATTCAAACAAACAGTAATTGTCACTGAGCTCAGTTTTAACATGTATGAACACGACGCTAACTTTGAACAGTATTACATGGATATTTATTTGATAGCAATAAATAAATAAATAACAATAACAATTAAACAATGTTTACAGGTGTTCACACAGGATCAACCTGAGTGACCTGATCCTGAACCGTTTCTTTAACAACTGTAATAGATTACAGGAAGTCTCTGGCAGCTGCAACTGAGACCTGCGGTTTGTCTTTCCTGGTCGGCGAGTGGAGAATCACACAGGGTGGTCTGCAGAGAGCTTTAGGATCCTCCCACTGTCCACGGCATCGTCCATCCACAGGTGTGCAGGGCTCACTCGTGGCTGCCACTGAGATGTTTTCAGAAATATGCAAGCAGGAGATGG